TGTGTTCTGATGCAGAATGGTAAGGTGATAGCTTATGCTTCGCGGCAGCTACGGAAGCATGAAGGAAACTACCCTACGCATGATTTAGAGATGGCGGTTGTGGTATTTGCACTTAAGATATGGAGATCTTACTTGTATGGCGAGAAGGTGCAAATATACACGGACCATAAGAGTTTAAAGTATATCTTTACTCAACCGGATTTGAACTTGAGACAGCGTAGATGGATGGAGTTGGTAGCGGACTATGACTTGAAAATAGCATACCATCCAGGAAAGGCCAACTTGGTGGCAGATGCGTTGAGTAGGAGAGGGGCTAGCGTATCATCTGAACAGAATGTTGGAAGCATTGTGAACATGCTAAGGACATTGCAGTTGAATGCAATAACGGATGGGGTTGAACCGTTGGGTTTGGAAGCTGCGGATAGAGCTGACTTGTTGACTAGAATTCGGATTGCTCAGGAGCAGGATGAGAATCTGAAAAAGGTGTCACAGAATGATAAGACAGAATATCAGACTTCAAACAATGGGACCATTATTGTGAATGGACGGGTCTGTGTTCCAGATGTGAAGGAGCTAAGGGATGAGATCCTTAAAGAGGCACATCAGTCAAGGTTTTCTGTTCATCCGGGAATGACCAAGATGTATCAGGATTTGAAACGGTACTATCATTGGGTTGGGATGAAACGTGATGTGGCTAAGTGGGTAGCCGGATGTGAGACGTGCCAATTGGTTAAGGCAGAGCATCAGTTTCCAAGTGGTTTGTTACAAACGTTGCCAATGCCAGAATGGAAATGAGACATGATCACCATGGACGTTGTAATGGGATTACCTAAGACTAGGAAGTTGCATGACGGGATATGGGTCATTGTGGATCGTTTGACCAAATCTGCCCACTTCTTAGCAATGAAAAAGACTGATGGAGTACCAAATTTGGTGGACATGTATATTGATCAGATCGTGAAATTGTATGGAGTGCCAGTGAGTATCATTTCAGATCGTGATCCGAAGTTTACTTCAAGGTTCTGGAAAGAGTTCCAGGAAGCGTGTGGAACGCGGTTGCATATGAGTACAGCGTATCATCCTCAGACTGATGGGCAATCAGAACGGACGATCAGGACATTGGAGGATATGTTGAGAGCGTGTGTACTGGACTGGGGTTGTAGTTGGGAAGACTACTTACCGTTGGCTGAATTTGCATACAACAATAGTTACCAAAGGAGCATAGAGATGTCTCCGTATGAGGCGTTGTATGGCAGGCCGTGCAGGACACCATTGTGTTGGACACAAGTGGGGGAGCGTAGTGTAATGGGGCCAGCAGTGGTCGAGGCTACTACAGAAAAGATCAGATTGTTAAAGGTTAAGCTGAAAGAGGCTATGGACAGACAGAAAAGTTATGCGGACAAGCGTCGCAGGGATTTAGAGTTCAGTGTGGGTGATATGGTTTATCTTAAGGCACTGACTTATAAGGGAACAGATAGGGCAGCTAAGAGTGCCAAGTTGAATCCGAGGTACATGGGGCCGTACCGGATACTGGAAAGAGTTGGCGCAATGGCTTACAAGTTGGACTTGCCATCGGAAATGGGAGCATTCCATAATGTATTCCATGTGTCACAGCTGAGAAAGCACATTACCAAACGGAAAACGGTTATAGAGGAGCCGCCAGCAGACTTGCAAGAGGACCTTGCAGTAGTGGCTAGGCCGGTTCGAGTGTTAGATCGGAAAGAAGAGACTAAGCGTGGGAAGCTGGTCATAATGGTTCAGGTCGTATGGGACTGTGACGGGCATGAACAGGTTACTTGGGAAAATGAGGCTAGGATGAAAGCTGAGTATCCCAAATGGTTTGACAAGTTGCAAACAGATGAGTCGGATTCGAGGACGAATCCAGAACGGGTGGGGGAGAGTTGTAGCATCCGTATCCGAGAAAATGTGGAATGATCGTACCGGACAGGGCATTGTCCGAGGGATGACCGAGCTAAGGGTCGGATACTGGCTGGGAAATAGAGGTTCGGACTATGGTCGGGTGTTGACCGGTGAAATAGTCGGATGTGGGCTGGATAGCCGAGCCGGATGGACCATATCCGAGGGAAAACAGGGTCCAGTCCGAGGGAAATGGGATTTATCCGAGTGCAGTGGGATATATCTGAGAGTCTGGGAGGTTAGTCCGAGTGTCAGTGGACTGTCTCCGAGGGGGAATAGGAAACCTCCGAGAGAAATAGAGGATTAGCCGAGGTGGGACAAGTTGTCCGGGAGAAATAGGAATATCCGGATGAAAAAAGGAATACACCTCGGATAAGGGCGGTTTATCCGAGTGGGAAGGGATTTGGGCCGTGGGCCAAGTGTTTGGTCGGCTATTTTGGGGTTTATCGAAGGATGGGTCGAGCCGGTACAGGGAATAGCCGAGAGAATTGAATCGGACCGGGATAAAACTTACTGGAACCGGGAAAACGCGGATAAGTCCGGGTTACCTAGGGTTTTGCGAGTATTTAAGGGATTTTGAGACTTTTCTCGGGAGAGTTGTGTTTATTCGAGAGCAATAAAGTAAAGAAAGAGAATAGTCGAGAGAAAACCCTAAGAAAAACAGTTTATCCCGAGGATATTCGAGAGAGATCAGGCTATCGCCGAGATAAACTGGTAAGCGATCGGATATTTCCCTAAGTGTTGAGTTTTCATCGGATAACCTCGAGCTAATAGCCTTGTTTTGTGGGGTTTCTGAGGGAAAACAGAGTTAGGCTCGAAGAAAGATGAATGGATCAAGAGATAGCCGAGGGGATAAGGATCATATCGTACCGTGAGCCGAGAGATTCTTAGGGAGATCAGATATCTTCTTTTTGGTGCGGTTTTCATCGGGATTTCTTCTGACCAATCTGTTTTTAGCCTTGTCTAAGGTGAGTGTGTGACTGTGGTTGGGTCTAGGACCGTAGGATTGCTAGGGTTGAGTGTTTTAAATGTTGATTGTGTGATTTTCATGTTATGTGTTTGGAATTGATAAGCAATCCTTATGTTGTGATATATTGTGGTGTTTACCGTGGCATATATGATGTTTAGCTAACCTCAGGGTAATCCAGATCATGTACTAGCTTAGGGGATATGGGATTCTCGCTGAAGTAGACATGGGTCTTAAAAAGGGATTGATCTTGGTTGGTTAGGCTAGATGATCATGGCCGTTTGATATGGTTATGTCTATTGCGAATTGATTGTGTTGAATGTTGAATCCGAAAGTATGACTGCGTGTTTTGGTACTGACCAGGTGTTACGGGATGACCGTACTCACTAAGTATTTATGAAATACTTATGCCTCTCATTTTGAGTGTGCAGGTACTAAGCAGTAAGGGGCGAGACCAGGCGGCAGTGATAGATATGGATGGATCGGGACTTTATTTTATTTGTGTTAAGACTTGTGTTTAGAGTCTTATGGCTTTGGTGTTTGACCGTTTAGGTTGCTAGATGATTGGTTGTAATCGTTAGTGAATCTTGTGATTTGATTTATGTGGAACCCCAAATCTGTTTAAGTGTTTTTGAGAGTTAAATGAATGAAATGAGTTATTTATATTCCGCTGTGTATTGATAAGAAAGACTTAGAAAAATAAAGAAAAAGTTTGAAAATATGGCTAAGTATAGAAACGGACTTAGAGGATGTAGTGGGACACAGCCGCGGTACGGTTTACCGGGTTGGGTTACCACAGAAACTATCTTAATCCCGAAGGAGAAGTATTATTCTCAAGGCGGTCTACGAAGGCTATATAAGAAGAGCCCCCTCCCTCGAATATCATTCATTCACAACTTCCGACTCGAGACCTAGGGCAAATAATAGCTTACTGCTTCTAGTTCTATATCTCGATTCTTTACTCTTAAAACTTAGGTCGGCGTTCTTTTCCAACGACCTAAATCTTTTATATTCTTCGAGCTCGGGCTAAATTCAATACAACTATATCTTCTGCCCCCGCAATCTTTATATTTTCTCTTAGGGAGATATCTAGATCTTACATGTTATATACTTAATAAATCACTCTTAGTTTGTCATTATCAACATGCATAATGATCATTAGGTATATAATATTTGATGATATGCTAGTGTATAGATCAACATTCCTTTTAAGTGGTTGATAAGAGAGACTATAAACTTCAATCACCGAGTCATCATTCCAATAGAGTTTTGTAAAGATTAGTTGCTCTCTCATGTCTTAATCGTTTATGGTTCAAATACAAGCCTACGTACGTTTTGTCACATCGTTTACAAATTTGTAGTATCCATCGTTTTTCGTTTTTAACATATGCTTTATCATTATCATTACAAAGTTATTGTTGGACATTACATATACATCATAATCCACAAAGAGCATAATATATTATGAATTTGAAAATGAACTGACGATGCTTTCTTTCGGTAAGTCTTTTATTCTTTAATAGATATACAAACCTGATATTTTCTTTCTTTATACAAGAGAATCCCACTGCTTTGACTATTTTTTTTCTTCTAAACTTGGAACTCTTCTAATGAATAAATACATCTAATTCTCAATGTCATCTTCAGATGAAGTCTCAAATATAACCAAAACCCAAAGATAATGTCTCTACAATTGCAAGATGAATACTGTAATGCCTACAAATTAGTATACAATGAAAAACCAACTCGAAAAACTACTCAAATCATCGGTTATTACAAATTAGAAGTTCAATCTTTTCTGAGTCCCACATATATATTTGAAAACCTTTTGTGAAAAAGAAAAGCCTCTTAAATGGGCTGCCTCTATCAAAGCCCATTATCTTTACATGAAATTGAGTAGTTTATACGGTGCCGCTTGAGAAAATGACGAAATTAACCTTTGACCGATCACAAAAAGTCTTTTAATCATATAAAAACGGAGGAAGTAGAAGACGCGTCGGCTGAGAGGTAAGAGGAAGAGAGACTCAAAGAGGGGCGGGAGGATTTTTTTTTTCAACTCATTCTTCTCTCTTCTCCGGCGGTCTTTCGTCGTCTCTTCCTCTTCACTCCGGGGAATATGGAAACGGTAGATACGCCTCCCGTCGCCGCCGTCAATTTACAGGCAGCGGAAGACGCCATTGGCTCAACCGCGGGTATTTCCCAACCGCCACAATCGCAATCGCAATCGCAGCCGCCGTCACGTGAAGTGGATTCGTTTCCAGTTGCTGGATCTTCCGATGATGATGTTGTCGTCTCGGAGGTACCGTGTTTATCTCCGTCAGATGATGATTTTGACCACGGGCGAAACAGCGGCGAGGATCACGACCACCAGGATCACGGCGATAATCCGGTCGAGACCGACGTTGTTGTTCCCAACGATGAGTTGAAGCAGAAGATTATTAGACAGGCATGGGTTTTTGCTTCTCTCTCTCTCTCTCTCTTTCTAAATTTGTGTTGCTTGTGTGATTAGAAGACTAACACGAAGCATTTTTCAAATCGTGAATTTCCTATTGCGATTTCACGTTTTCAAGTGAATTCGTCGAATTGATAAAAAAAAATTAGGAATTTAGTTCAAGTTCCTTTTCATCTTGCAGTGTTTGATTCATCATAAATCATCTTACTTTGAAGACATTAGATTTGAAAATCTTAGAATAGGCTTTGGAGTTTGGGTTTATTGTTCTGTTCTTCAAAATAGTTTGCTATAAGGCTAGTTCTGAGTTTAGTCTGCTGTTGTTCCTTGTATTCGTTGCAGGTTGAATACTACTTCAGTGACGAGAATTTGCCAACTGACAAATTTCTTCTGAATGCTATGAAGAAAACCAAAAAAGGCTTTGGTGAGTGTATTTCTTTCGACTCTGAATTAAATGTAGACTTAACTCTTGTGTTGTTCTCTGGTGATTGGACTGTATGAGTGTATAAGTTGGCTAAACTCAAACTGCTGACAAAATCTCGTTATCTAACTGAAATAATGTGGTTTCCGTATAATGTCACTCCATTGACTAATTATTATCATTTCATTTGTTTATGAAAATCGTAAGCTCCATGTCAATGGCTTTCTTTTTCCTATGCAGTTCCCATATCTACCATTGCTACATTCCGTAAGATGAAGAAACTTACACTAGACCATGCCCTGATAGTATCAGCCTTAAAGGAGTCGTCATTTCTTGTAAGCTTCCTTCTTCATAGTAGTTCCAAATAGATGGAGTACTCATACACTGATAGGAAAGTAAAATGAAACACCAGATGATACTCGTAAGGATTTTGAGAATTTTTCTGGTCAACCTGCAGGTTGTTAGTTCGGATGGGAAGAAGGTGAAGCGTCTGAGTCCTCTTCCTGAGGTCAGGGATCCAAAGGTATCAGTTGCCCCACACATTAACCTTCTGTCTTTGTCTAACTAATGTGTTGTGTTTTTGCTTGCTCTCGGATTTATTCGCTCGCAATTTTGGTGTACGATAGATTTTCACTGTTCTGGTAGAAAACTTGCCGGAGGATCATTCAGACAAGAACATTCGTGCGATTTTTGGTAAAGCTGGAAGGTAGGCCTTACTTTAATCTATCTTTTTATCCAGTCACTCCCTTTCTGCTGTCAAATCATTGCTACATCTTAGTTATGTCAGTTATGCATACTACTGAGTAAAATTTCCTTCTAACTCTAGGATTAAAAGTGTATCCATATGTGATCCTAATGCTGCTGAAGAATCAGAGAAGGGCTGTAAGAAGGACAAATTCATTCGAACCAGAGTAAGTAACTTCATGGAGAACTTATATGGAACCACATTAACGTTTATGTATATTTATGTGCATGCAAGTAATTGGCTTTGTCTTCTTTTGGGTATAGTTACATGCCTTTGTGGAATATGAAACAGTGGAGGCAGCTGAGAAAGCGGTGAGTGTCAAATAAAACTTACTCAATCATTACAGTATTTTTAGTAGCTCTCTTATGAGGAATGGGTGTCTTAATCTATTTTTATTTTTTGGTGCAGGCAGCTACATTGAACAATGAGCAAGACTGGAGAAATGGGTTGCGAGTTAAGCTTCTTGAACAAGCAGTAAGTAAAACCCTGAAGAATCTTTGAAGTTGAAAATTGCATGTAGAATCAAACTAATCTTCTGATTGCTTATTCATCATCATAGGGAAAGTTTACACAGAGAAAACCAGCTAGGAGGGAAGTCGATACAGAGAAGAACAAGCATGATCAAACGGGAGGTGAGGAGAAGAAAAAGGCAAATGAACATCAGCATCACCGTCACTATCATTCTGATACTCCGGCTGAAGATGTAAGTTCATTTCATTGAAGGTTTTGGAAATAACAAAACGGTCTGAGTATACAAAACAGCTGTTTTTAATTGGACATTTTTCCTTTTGACCATTTTTAGGATGGAGGGCATAAAAATGGGAACAAAAGCAGAGGTCAGGGACGGGGAAGGCGGTCGAATCAACAAGGCAACAACGGTATTGGTCAATTTTTCTAAGTAAAATCCTTTTCTTCTACGGTCATTGCAACAATGCCAAAATGTGAATGAAAATGTTTGTTTTTTTGGTAAATTTTGCCACAGGACATGGAAGCTCACCATCAAGCTCATCTTTCCATCATAATTATAGTAATAATAATCATCATCCTGTTGAGGTTTCAAAGCGTCCGCCCGGCCCGAGAATGCCTGATGGGACGAGAGGTTTCACAATGGGGCGTGGTAAACCGCTTCCTCCTCCTCCCACATCTGCTCAAACCAGTCACCAAGTTTGATCGGTTTCTCCAGCTCTGTTTCTATCATTTGTGTGGGTTTTGTTTCGCTTTTAAAAAACAGAAAGTGAAACATTGTATGTAGTGTTGTGATAGCTGAAATGTTGTGTGGGATTTGGGTTTCCTTTTGGCATTGACCGTCCTCTGAATCTTCCTCACTTTGGTTTTAGCTTTTATGTTTGTTGTTAATGGTAAAGAAATTTAACGCAAAAATGAGTCCATTTGATGACTTCATGTTTCCCTTATTTTTGTTCTATTATATCTTACTTTGGGCAAAGAAGTGAAATCTCACCCCCAACATTAAATAAGTCACTTTGATTTTTGGACTGTAATTTGCTCAGCTGTTGTATCTCTGAATCCCACAATTTCTGCAATACCAAATGCGTTTCTTACTTCACTAGTAGAGAGATGCAAACACAACTTAAAAAAAAAAAAAGACTTTGTTCTCCAAGAGTTTTTCTTCTCTCACTACACTACTTTGAGTTCTAATATGACGAAAAATACTTCATTAGTTGCATTTCTTCATGATCACATGATATAAACTTTTCCATCGTTGATCATCACTTTGTTATCATCTTGCAGTTTCTGCATAAATCCACAATAGGGTAAGTAAAAATAGAATGAGAAGCTGTTTCTTATTTTGTGATGTACCTCTAACAAAGCCATAATCTCATCTGCAGAGTAACGAGAAGCTCCAACTCCATTGTTGTTGACTGCAGTCTCTATATCTGCAATAGAAATGTCGTTGAGTCTGTTTGTCGTCATGTGCTGCCCAAACACTCGCTCAAAGGCTGCAACCCTTGCTGCAGAGACCGTGCCACTAAATTGCTCTACGGGAGGTTCATCTACATCCATTGGATCTCCTGTTTCACTGAATGAACCAGCAAAAACAAGAAAGAACAATGTATTAGGCCTAATAGGGTTACGACAGCTGCGAGATGGGTTTCCATGGAAGAAACCAAATTAATTACCTTTCGACATTTGCAGAGGCATTCTCTTGTCCATTATCATGACCACTTGGTGTTCTTTCCTGTTCTGATTGTTCCCTTTGACGTTCTTCTTGCTCACGTTCGTCCATCTCTGTCAGCTCTTGATGATATATTGCAAAGTTCATAAGCTTCAAGGCAGCCTCCGCGTCGGCTTTAGTAACCTTTCGAGACAAAGATATTAAGAGTGAGTTTTAGTATACAGTATTCAAGACTAGGAGGGTGAAACAGAAGATTTGAGTTTGTTTATTACCTGTCTGCTCAACTTCATTTTGGCATGTGCGGTGGCAAGACGGATTATCGTCTCTAGAGTTCTTGCTGTTATCGGAAGCGTACCTCCAGTCTACAGAGATGTGAATGGTCATGTCAAATACAAGATGAAAACACAACAACGGTATCCAAGCTTACGTTGTGAAATGATTTTTACCTTGGTATCAGAACCTGCATTTCTGAGATCTGCATATGCTTCTGCAATACGTTCGGATGCCTGAAATTTCAATAACAAAAGAGAGGTTTTAGTGGAAAAGCTTATGAGATATCAAATACGTAAATCTGCGTGACTAATAAATTCAGTGTCGCACTTCATCAGTGAGCTCTGGCTGAATTCGATGCTTGGCATAGTGAATGTACTTCTTCAGGAACTTAATCGTAAGAGTTTTCTCATTTGTTTGGCCTCTTCTCTTCTTCTTCCCATGCAACATTCGGTTATACTTAACAAATACTTCACTTTCACCATCTTCCTCTCTCGCATACGGCATGCTCCCATCTGGCCCTGCCTCACCTATAGTTCACTCAAATGCCAGATATGATTTAAGTCATTGATTGTGAAATGTTCAGTACACAGGAGAAATGTGATGATTTGCAGCCAACCTCTATCGTTTTTGTAACGATGCATGCGCAAGACGTGTTCCGATATCAGGTTGTCAATACCCGCATCCATTTGATCCAACACAATAAACAGCAGATCAAAACGTGAAAGCAATGAGTCTGGAAGTCCAATGTTCTTTGTTGGAGTCAGTGATCTGTCATACTGCAGGCACAAGAGTAAGATATTAGAACAAGGGATACTTACTAGTCAACAGATCCAACAGATCAGGAAGAGTTCTACGCAAACTTACGGTTCCATATATGGGATTTGCTGCTGCAACCACACTGCATCTAGCATTTAATGATGCATGAATACCGGCTTTCGCAATTGTTACAGTCTGCTGCTCCATCACTTCGTGTATAGCAACTCTGTCCTGATCGTTCATCTTATCAAACTCATCAATACACACTACACCTCTATCAGCGAGAACCATTGCACCAGCTTCTAGTCTTCGTTCCCCTGATGAGAAAAAGAGAATTAATTATCATAAGACAAAGCACTTTGAGCTTTTTCTAGTTTTGAAGTTAAAGGAAAGAATGCAAAAGGTTTGTACGTGATATTACCTGTTTCTTGGTCAGAGGTCACAGCAGCAGTTAACCCAACACCGGAAGATCCACGGCCTGTAGTTGATATAGCCAATGGTGCAATATTCATTATTGCTCTCAGAAGTTGAGATTTGGCAACAGAAGGATCACCAACCATCATCATGTTGATGTCCCTGATAAAAAAAAGGTTTTGGTTCACGGAATTTTAGAAACATTCATACCAGTGAACTGAAGCTGAAATTTGTTTATAAGCAGGACCTTACCCTCTTAAATGGGTTCCGTTCTTGAGGTTCTTTTCCATACCGCCGAGCATCAGTAGTATCACTGCTTTCTTTATCCAAGCGTGGCCATAAATAGAAGGTGCCAAGGAACTAGAGAGGAGATCAAATGCATCATCTCTTGCTGCAATCTTTTTAATCTCCTGTAGGTCTCGCGGGGTGTATATAGGTGCATTTGCTTCTTTGTTGAGCAGAGAGATATTATTGGCTATGAGGATAGTCCTACACAGATAGAGAGCTCAGTCAAGATTATCGCAGTGAAAAGAACATCTATAGATTTAAGAGGTTGTAAGAAGAAGCACCTAAAGACTCCATTAACACTGCCCTTGGTTTTTCCTGGAAGAGCTTTGTAAATACCGATAATAGCCACTCGATCCCCTGGCTTGCATGAGTCAACCAAGTCATCCTCAGCTATGACATCCACACTTCGTGGAAGCTGACCAGGAGCAGCGTTTTCAGGCACTTCTTGGATTGACAAGGTCTGGTGATCTTTGTATTTGCACAGCCCATACTCAGTCACCAATAAGTTGCCATTATCATCCTAAAAACAAAACAAAACTCAGTAACAGGCAAATCTTCAAGCAATAAAGGTATATGGACAAAACATAAAAAAGAAACATGTAATTACCCTTGTGGGATAGACAGAGCCAGTGGGTAAACCCGCGTGGGACGTAATGTCTCGATAATCTCGATTGGTGAATTCACCGGTTGATGGACAAAAGTGTACACTTTTCACAACCTTTGGCCTCACAAGAGAGCCTGAAAGCAAAACATGTCTCAGAGATTTTAACTCTTTAGATAGTTAGAGGTCGTGAAGAACGTAGAGGGGTTTAGAGGGAAAAAGGCTTACATTTGGTGACAATGCCCTCAACACAGACCAAAGATCCAATAAACTCTGAGAGGAGCTCTCTAGGTGTGACACGTCGAGAGACAAAATGACCTTCAAAACCAACAAGGATTTGCTCTCCTTCCTTCAAGTACTTCGGGTCAATATTGCGTGTAGCTTCAGTGGCTGCGTCACAAAATGGCTGCATATACTCAATTGGATTTTTCAGTATCCTACACAAAACAAAGCAATTAACTTTAAGGTCATAAAACACATAGCACAAAGAGAGAAGCAATCAATTAATTAAATAATGAAGTTAAAGCACAACTGTAGTGAATCCTATGAAATCCCTAAGTTCACATCACTGAATCTGGCATAACAAAACCCTAAATCTCTCAAAATTGAAAAACTAAACGAGATTCATTAGGAACCCAAATTCAGAAAGCTGACGAACCTGGAGGCGGATTCAGATTCGCGGAAGTGGGAATGAATGTCGGAGACATTAACAATGAGACGGTGACGCTTGTTCTGTACCAGAGCCTTGATTTCATCCATGTAGATCTAAAATCCATTAAACCCAAATCCCAGTTAGAGAAGCACGAAATGTCTCGTGAGAAAGAGTGTGAGAGACGGAGAGAGAGAGAGAGAGAGAGAGAGAGAGAGAGAGAGAGAGTAATCGGACTTACGTTTTCCAGGAACTGGATAAAATCTCGCTTGTGGCGAAGCCTCGTCTCCTCCGGAACATCCATTTCTTACAAATCACGCTGGTCCTAAGCCTTTTTCGTCTTCTTCGTAACACCGGAGATTGCGACTGTTTGCCAAAGAAAAATGATTATATACCGATTTCGAGAGGCATAAAGGGGGTGTATGTATTGTTGTGGCGGGATATTGCGAGATGACCTGTTGCCTTTTTGGCGGGAAGAGAGGGCTAATTTGGGCCGATATATATATTGGGCCTTTTCTGGAAGAGGTTTTGTTAAACCAACTCTCGAGTTTTCTAGCGGTGTCGTCTACACGATGGTAATGCGCGTTCGATTGTCACAAGGGAATGCATTAATGACCTACTAGGTCATGGCCCATTAGCTATAAATTTAGCCCATTAAGAGAGTGTATGATAAATCTAAAATTAATAAAAGCTCATTCTCCGCCAACAGAACCTTACTTCATTTCTACAAAATAAAGTTTGATAAAAACCAAACCAAACCCAACCCAACGGTGACGATACTAATCTGCAATTATATACTCTTTTCAATAAATTTGATTTCATTAAACAGAGATACAAACACTCGAGAGTATTGTTGAGAAAAAGATAAAATCCTCCAATTGGATTTATTGCGACTCTAACAACCTTGCTACAAGATTCTTGGTTTCGGTTTATAAATTAGACAAATATGAAGCGAGCTAAAGATACAAAACATTTCCGTACAGAAGATAGAGAAGCAAAATCTGAAATCTCAACAGCTCAATAAACAACAAGACAAAAGCTGAATGAAACGTGAAAAGGCCAGAGAAAGAGCTCAACAAACTTGTGAACCAAGAGAAGCTGCAAGGAAGATGATGAATGATGATGGTAATGGTGATGTAACAAAACGGGGAAGAGATTCTTTAAGAGGTTTGAAGAAATCAGGGTTTGAAGGCAGAGAAAGCGACGACTGAGTTGTGTCCACCAAACCCAAATGAATTTGATATAGCTGCAGCAGCAAAAAGGAAAACACATTAATCAGCTGAAACCATCGTCGGTGTAATCCAATGACAAGAGGGAGAGTCGTCACTTACCAACATTCACCTCGTGCTGCTTCTTCTCGTTTGCGACCGTGTCAAAGTCAACGGCTGGTTCTGGGTTCTACAATGAGAAACAGAGTGTAACGAGTCTATAACAAAGCCCAAAGTTCAAATCTTGCAACAGTTTATAGATCCTCGGTAAGCGAAAATAAAATAAAAAGCCTTTTTCAGGTTCATGTTATGGGTTATGTCAAACTCGTGAATGATTTTGTTTAAGGAAAGGAGAGATTAGACGTACAAATTGGTTGATTGAGGGATGAAGCCATCCAGTGTTGATAGCCTTCACGGTGGCGATGGCTTCGAGACCTCCAGCTGCACCGAGGCAGTGACCTATCATAGACTGTAACATGCATACACAAAACAGTCACTATAGGAAATGCAAAGCAAACAAATTCAAGAAATAGAGGAGAGAACATTCAAAACAGCGGTATTAGACAGATGGGAGCGTTAGGGACGAACCTTGGTGGCATTGATCTTGATTCCTGAAGTGCTCTTGAACACCTTTTTAATGGCATTGATCTCAGCAAGATCACCAGCAAGAGTGGAAGTTGCATGGGCATTGATGTAATTCACCTGAAAAAAAAACGTTCAGATTATCACAAGCTAGCTATGGATATATAAGTGGGAAATGTAACAGGTAATAAAACGGAGACCCTTTTGTCACAAACAGCCATAGAACTTGGGAAGCATGAAAAGTTTGTGTTTTTTCTACCTCCTCGGGTGATACACCAGCATCTTCAAGGCAGCTCTCAATGCATGAAGAGACACCAAGCCCATCAGCTCTTGGATCAGTCATATGATGAGCATCACAGTTAACAGCGCCTCCAAGATATTCTGCTACAATTGGAGCACCACGTTTCAACGCATGTTCCAAGCTTTCCATCACCTATTTAGAGCACAGAATAAATCGATGGACTTCAGGAAACAATATGTCACATGTACGAGCCAATCTCGTGGTGAAATAAACCAACTTTGCAAAAGCAGTACGATTCGAATGCAAAAACACTTCCCGAGCTAATCAACTACGGGAACACAAGTTTCAACACAAGGAGTAAGGGTCCTCAACTAAAGACAGCAGTGTATCAAACCCCACAGTTTCACTTAGACCAAAACGTGTGCAGATTTATAGTCTCAATGTGAGTAAGAATTTGTGAAACATACCAGAACACCAGCTCCCTCACCCATGACGAAGCCATCTCTTTGTTTATCCCATGGCCTTGAAGCTGTTTGAGGGTCATCGTTTCTCTGCGACAACGCCCTGCAAGCAACAAAACCTCCCAACCCAATAGGAATAATGGCAGCCTCGGTTCCACCAGCAATCATCATATCAGCTTCACCGCGGCGAATGTGGTTCGCAGCAGCGTAAAAGCAGTAGTTGGAGGTGGCACAAGCGGTTGAGATGGAGTAGTTTGGACCCATAAGACCAAGATCGATCGCCAATAAAGCGGAACCCATGTTTGTGATGGCATAAGGAATGAAAAATGGAGATATTCTCCTGTGACCTTTCTCAATTAGAGCTTGAACACCGTCTGAAAATACAGTCAAACCACCCATACCAGTCCCAACTAGTACTCCAGCTTTCAGCTTATCAATCTACAAGAGAACCCAAACCAGTGATGTAGACAACAAAGAAGAGTAATTTGTTAAACCCGAGAGAAACTAGGTTAAAACCATCAAAGAAAAATCAAATTCATGTCTAAAGACAGCAGAACTAAGAATTTTCAAAATCTTATAACTATGCCTCATCGATCAAAATTCATCAATTCCCACTCCAAACTCAAATTGATTTCATTGGTAAAAGGAGAAAGCAGAAACCTTAAAAACTGAATAATCTTCAAATCAATGTGAATAATTGAAATTGATCAATTAGAGATTGTGAGAAAGAAAATGTACCGAGTTAAGCTTATCACCCCCAAGGTTAGCACTCTCAAGAGCCTTCTTCCCAGCGACAATGCAGTACTTCAAGCAATCGTCAAGCCTACGCTCGTTCTTCCCGTCGATGTAACCTTCGGAGCTAAACCCACGGATCTGACCACCGAATCGAGTCGGGAACTTGGAGGCGTCGAATCGATCAATCAAGCTGATTCCACTCTCACCGGAGAGCAATTTCTCGTAGTAGGCATCGACGTCGTTACCAAAGACAGAAACGAGACCCATACCGGTAATCACAACCCGTTTCTTCGGATCCGTCTCGCGTTTAGGAGCGGAAACAGCGGCTGATGCGGAGATGAAGGAGCGTCTCCTCGTGGGTCTCGCATTGGTAATCTGATGCGACTGTCGATTCGAAGGCCTTATAAGTGGATTCGGGGGAGACGCACGGAGAGAGGAAGATTGAAGAGCTTGCATGGCGGATCCAAAGGGAGAAAGAGGGAGCGAGGGAGAGGCGATAAGTACGATGTTGTGAAAATGGTGTGTGATGTGCGTTTGAGAAAAATAGCTTGAGTTCGTCAGATTTCACGAGCACTCTTGATTATAAAAAAAATCACCGAAGTAAAAATTGTATTTAAGTCCCTTCATATTTACAGCTATTTTAGTTTCGGCCATATAGTTATATTAGTTTACAATTAGGTATCCAAAAAGGTGTTTAAATGGGGAATACAGTATACGGTCTCTTTTTTTTTTTGGGTGCAAATACATGTGTTCGTCTTTCAAAATCAAATTTATAAGTTTATTTTAATAGTAGGCATAGTAACTGTTTTTAAGTGATTTTAGAAATCCCATCCGAATGATAACAGTGGAAATGTTGTTAAAAAAAACCAAAACTCAAAAAGGATCTTAATGACTCAATATTGATCCAAAGATCAGTTTATCACCTCTTCTTTGGTTGCTGACAGAATGTGAAGGACTCTTAGGTTCTCGGTTTTTTCTTTCTCTAATGACATGTATAATGAGTTTAAGAGTTCTTTTCCACATTATTAGAATGTAAATGGTAAGTTTGTTTTTATCATTTTTGTTTATCTCTTTCAGCTGTTGTTGATCATCAAAACTGGTCCTAAAATTTTAAAAAATGGTGAAGGCCGTAATCCATAGAAAAAAAAAACTGTTTTAAAAAGAATTAAAATAAATGGATTATTTTTTTTTTACAATTATTTTTATGTAAAAATAAGGATCACAAACTTATGCTTAATCTATTTGGGTTCTCTGTTGATTATTTAACAAAAATTGTTGCTGTGTCTTTGAACTTTTTCTCTGTTGTTGGTCTGAAAACAAAAGATCTATAGTTAAGACCATGTATATTATCAAAGGTGTGATGGCTTAGTGGCTAATGCCATGAGTTGGTTCCTTAACACTTTTTTTTTTTTTTTTTGGGCAAAAAGTTCCTTAACACTTTATGTTCTATTTTTTTGTGAGAAATGATTTATGCTATGTTTTGGTATTATCACCAGTCTAATTCCGGTATATGAAGATGTACGTGATTCAGTCTAAAACTTCGCGATATTAAAAAAACATAAAACAAACAAAAAACATGTATATTCATATTTAACAATTTTCCACAAAATGGTAAAGGATCAACCATGCAAAATAACAAGAATATGTGATCATTTCACAATTATGCAAAACGGCAAAACCCATCGAAGAATAACAAATGTTTACTAGTTTTATGACCGATTGAACCACGTGGATTTATGAAAACTAGTTTGGTTTTGGTTTCTTTAACTTTTTGGGGTTTTAAGATTTTTCTTAAAAATTAGTAACCAATATAAATCTAATCTAGATATAGTTTTAATTTCGGTATAAGTTTGATCTTTTAACTGAATATATATCTTTAGTTTTAAAAATATTTTACCTCTATTTTTTTTTCGTTTAGTCTTGTATTAGTTTCTGTATTTTGTTAAAAAAAATGAATTGGTTACTCGATACCTACTAACAACTATTTAAGTTTAAATCAATTTTTTTTGGTTTCCGCTGATTTGGTTTTCTTGGATTGAATTTGAACACCCATGCGAAAACACACACACACACACAATTACATTAGATTTTTTGATTTTTCAAATGACTAGTGTTTAATGGACCCACTATCCCATTTATTTCATTATACATATATAAATGTCGATTCGAACTTTCGTGTTTAGTAGGATAGGAAATGACATAGCCACTTGGCTTAACTTATATAGAAGCCCCTAAATGCTTACATTGTTCACTTTTTAACCTCGTAGTTCTATTCGTTCAAGCTTTAGCCTCCTGTAAACTAAGACATCAAATTTGGACAATGAAAATATATTATCTTTTGATTTTTAAAGATATAGTTTTAAAGTTGAAAACATATAAACAAAATTACCTAATAATGTAACAACTAACAAGTAACCCGAAAACCAATACTCCAAATGAAATTTAATAGAGATGGGTGAGGTAGGTGAACCGATAGTCACATGGGAGCATTGATCTTAATTAAATAGACAAAGACAACGAAGAAAGTTGTAAGTAAAAAGCAGGTATAAGTTGTTCAACACCTAAGTTCTATTTATACACTTTTATCAAAATCTATCTTCTCTAAAAGACTAAAGCTGTATGCGACTTGTTTGAAAGATAATGAATAGTTGTCAGCATTCATAACAAGTTGGTTTAAGTTTAGATTATTTCAAACTAGTTTTTGTTTTTAGTTTATATACGTGAGTTATCTTTAATACAATTTAAAATACAACACATTTCCAATTTTTCATAACATATATTTGCAAGGTGTAAACGTGAACGTTGAATGCAAACGAAAGAGTCTCATTCTATTGGCGTTTGATTTCGACGTTTACGATGAACAAGGAAGTTTTACATACCACATTTAAAGTTAGAGTTCATTTGGAAATATGTATGCTTAAACGTAAATTTAAGCAAATAAACGATATGCGATTAGTGTGCATAATTATCAAACGCTAAAAAAACAATCATCTGGTGACTATTTGTCGCGCCTCGATTATTACGATCGTGGATCGAATGTGGAACACAATTTATGGTGTATATATCGCAACTTTAGATATTTATTTCTCATTGAAAGGGATTTCAAATTTGACATTGCTGAGACAAATCCATCGCTCTGATAATCCAACTATTATGTTAGAAGAATTTTCCAATAAGTTCCCACAAATATACAGAATTGATGAATATTCCAACAACAAAATTAAAATATGTTACCAGACATGTGTAAACAGGCTCGCTAGTTAACTTTACGGTTACCATATACAATGAACTGATTATGTATTACTAGAGATCTAGTACAAGATAAATTCGAACCCTTCTAAAAGAAAACTTTGAAAAGTTAGCTTTTGTTTTTATTTAAGGCACTTTTAGAAACTTTTTTTCTGAATACATGTTACTTTTTATACGTTCTTACATGTTTTGACTCTTGACAACGAATTTTTATATAGGTTTAGATTAGTAATAACATGACGCATCATCACGCTCATCCATTCGTTAACTAGACCAGCTTTTGTTAATTATTCACGAGTTTTACTGTATTGTAGTGCGGGTAAAGAAAGAATACAAAGAAAACTAATATGGCTTAAGTTTTTTTTTTTTTGTAAAATAGTATTAAGTTATTACTTATTAGTCGCTCGTTTTGAATGCGACCCTATTAAACCAAAGGATATATAAGTTCTAAGCGAATAGTGTACTTCGTTGAACCTAATAGTGTACATTTATCTATAGACTAAGCCAAGCCACATGATCTTAAAATAGGTAGAACACCATTAAAATATATATATTTTCAAACTATTGTTTTCTCTTTCCTGCGTTTATATTTTCCCTTTTAATAGTCAAAATGTGTTTTAATTAAAAAAAACTGTAAACACAAAAATCCTATGCTACAGAATTTTTTTTTCTTTGGTCAGTGAAAATAATTAAGTTTAGCGTTTTCTGTTTCAGATTTGTAAAAAAATTTAATAACGAAATTAAAAGCATTAAAATTTTCCAAATATAGAAATTAGCATTTTACATGTAAAAGCAAATGGTAAAATTTGTGTGTTAATTGACAGAGAACTTTGGGTATATATATAGGAGAGACAGAGAAATATTTTAGTCCTCAAAAATTGACAGAGAAACTTGGGCATATACATATAGACGTTATAGAGACTAATACAACTCTATACGTTGACTTTGTTGACAAATTCAACATCTGTTCGTATCTGTCAATTCTTCTACATTTCCATTGACTCGATTAATATTCTAAATAATCAGCTGAGAATCTGAGATTCGATCTGGCTCGAATCCAAAAAGAATAATCAGACAATAGCGTATTAATTTCCAAAACTTTCGACTGTAAGAACTAGATTTCAGTTGTTTATACTTTAGTAGAGTATCAATACAGATTTCTTAGATATGTTGCCAACAAATTATCAGATACATACATATAACTCGTTTAATCTGTATATACTACTGCTATACAAGTTGATTTTTTATATAGCTTTTACATATGGTGAATTAAATATTTGAGTTTCCTTTTTCTAGATGTTTATATCTGTTGCTGAAGACAAGCCAGTGACATAGTTCACAAATGCTTCACATGCATAGACTTCGATTCCATCCACATTTTTATGTGGCCGGTAAAGAAAATGCCAATCTCTGATGTTCTTTTTTTGTTTTGTTTTGTTTTGTTTATAACACATCGACGACGCCAATACACGACACATGGTTAAATATTCTGATCATCCGCGACGTCTCAAAACGCAATTACACCGTTTATATATAGTAGCTACTATCTCATCCGTAAAATCACGTTTCACAATTTATTCTGAAAAATATTTATCTTAATTGAACACCCTAATTATATAACCATGTGTTATGTTAATATCATGACGATAATTTGTGGTTTTTGGTCACAAACAGAGAAATTTTTATAAAAGCAGAAATCAATATGAAAAATTTGTATTGAATTGAAAGGATAAAGATAAAATCTTACAAATAAACAAAAAAATACAGAGTTGGCCCTGAAAAAAGAGGAATATATAGCTAACGAGTTAGAATCTGCAACCGCAACAAAGAAAGAAGAACGCAAGTTTAGAGACCAAAACCATTGCTTCGATGATAGACATGAATCTGAATCTCAAACTTTCGAAAAACGACATCTTCAGATTCAATCTCTTCCACTTTAGCCCTCCAAGTCCCAGAAATTTCAATCTCGTCCTTTCCTTCCTCGTCTTGAATATCGAAGAACTCCATTTTCTCATCATTCTTTTAAGCTTTCAGCTTCTTCGAAAATCGAATTGTACAAAGAGAAGAATTAGGGTTTTGTTTATGGTTTGTTATATAAGTCTTCGTAGACAAACAAATGAGTTTTATACAAGCCAAAGCCGAGGGTATTTTTGGTAATTTAAAGTCGTTAACTAGAAGCGCGTTTCCATATTCCAATGATCAACGTA